ATCAGGTCTCAGGTGTAAGTCTTTAATTTATTTTGACTTGATTTTTATGTATGGTGAGAAATAGGGTCTAATTTCATTCTTTTGCATATGAATATCCAGTTTTCCCAGCCTCACTGATTGAAGAGACTGCCCTTTTCCCATTGTATGTTCTTGGTCCCTTTGCGGAAGATGAATTGGCTATAAACGTGTGGATTTATATCACACGTTCTCTAGTCTTTTCCATTGATATATGTGTCTGTTTTTATGCTAGTACAATGCTGTTTTGGTTACTATAGCTTTGTGGTAAATTCTGAAGTCAGATAGTGTGATGTCTTTTACTTTGTTCTTTTTTTTTTTTTTATCACTCGTGTTGAGGTTGATACTTTGTTCTTTTTGCTCAGGATTTCTTTGGCTATGTGAGGTCTTTTGTGGTTCCATATGAATTTTAGGATTGTTTTTTCTGTTTTTGTGAAGAATGTCGTTGGTATTTTTATAGGGATTGCATTGTCATTTAACAATATTAATCCTTCTAATCCATGAGCATGAAATATCTTTCCATTTTTTTGTACCCTCTTCAATTTCTTTCATCAGTGTTTTCATTGTAGAAATCTTTCACTTCTTTGATTATTGATTTTTAGGTATTTTATATTCTTTGTAGCTATTTGTAAATGGGATTGCTTTATTGATTTCTTTTTCAGATTGTTCACTGTTGGCATATACAAATATTACTGATTTTTGTATGTTGATGTCATGTCCTACAACTTTACTGAATTTGTTTATCAGCTCTAACAGTTGTTTTGGTGGATTCTTTAGGTTTCTCTCAGTATAAGATCATGTCATCTGCAGATAAGGCTAATTTGACTTCTTTCCAATTTGGATGTCCTTTATTTCTTTCTTTTGCCTAATTGCTCTGCCCATAACTTCTATTATATTAAATAAAAGTGGTGAAAGTGGACATCCTTATCTTGTTCCATATCTTAGAGGAAAGGCTTTCGATTTTTCCCCACTCAGTATGATGTTAGTTGTGGGTTTGTCATATATGGCCTTTATTATTTTGTGGTATATTCCTTCTATATCCAGTTTGATGAGGGTTTTAATCATAAATAGATGTTGAATTTTATCGAATGTTTTTCAGCATCTATTGAAATAGTCACATGATTTTTGTCCTTGGTTCTGTTAATGTGATGTATCACATTTATTGATTTGTACATGTTAAACTATCCTTACATTGCTGGGATGAATCCCACTTGATCAGTATGTGATATTTTTAATGTGTTGTTGAATTCAGTTTGCTAGCATTTTACTGAAGATTTTTGCATCTGTGGTCATCATTGTTATTGACCTGTAGTTTTCATTATTATTATTATTATACCTTGTCTGGTTTGGGTACCAGGGTAATTCTGGCCTCAAAGAATGAGTTTGGAAGTACTCCTTCCTCTTCAAATTATTTTGAAGCATTTGAGTAGAATTGGTATTACTTCCTCTTTAAATGTTTGGAATTCAGCAGTGAGGCCATCAGGTCCTGAGCTTTTCTTTCATGGGAAACTTGTTATTACTTCTTGGATCTCGTTATTGCTTTATTGTGGTTTTCTATTTTTTTCATAGTTCAATCTTGGTAGGTTGTATGTTACCAGGAATTTATCCATTTCTTCTCAGTTTTCCAATTTGTTGATGTGTAGTTGTTCATAATAGTCTCTCATGATTCCTTGTATTTCTGTGGTCTCAGTTATATCTCCTTTTCCATTCCAGATGTTATTTATTTGGGTCTTCTCTTTTTCTTAGTCTAGCCAAAGGTTTATCAATTTTGTTTATCTTTTCAAAAACCCAACTTTTCATTTTGTTGATTTTCTCTATTTTTTGTCTCAATTTCATTTATTTCTGCTCTAATTGTTATTATTTTCTTCTACTAATTTTGGATTTGGCTTGTTCTTGCTTTTCTAGTTCCTTGAGGTGCACTGTTGTTTCTTGGAAATCGTCCCTCTTATAATTTTTTGATATAGGCATGTATTGATATAAACTTCTCCCTTACTCTACTTTTGCTGTATCCCATAGATTTTGGTATATGGTACTTACATTTTCATTTGTTTCAAGAAATTTTTATATTTCTTTCCTAATTTCTTCATCAATACACTGGTCCATTCGGGAACATGTTGTTTAATTTCCATGTTGAGGTTGCTCTTGTTGTTGATTCTAGTTTTATTCCATTTTGTTCAAAAAGGTATTTGATACGATTCCTACTTTTATTTTATTTATTTATTTATTTATTTTTGAGACAGGGTCTCGCTCTGTTGTCCAGGCTAGTGTGCAGTGGCATCATCATAGTTTACTGCAACCTCAGGTTCCTGGGCTCAAGTGATCCTCCTGCCTCAGCCTCCTGAGTAGCTGGGCTTACAGGTGTGCACCAGCACACCTGGTTAATTTTTCTATTTTTTGTAGAGATGGGGTCTTACTCTTACTCAGGTTGGTCTCAAATTCTTGGCCTCAAGCAATCCTCCCACCTTGGCCTCCCAGAGTGCTAGGATTAAAGTTGTAAGCCACCACGCCCAGCCTGATTCCTACTTTTTAAAAATTTGTTCAGGCTTGTTTTGTTTTAAGGTATGGCTTATTCTGAATAATGTTCCATGTGCTGATGAATAAAAATGTGTATTCTGCTGCAGTTAGGTGAAATGTTCTGTAAATAGCAGTTAGACCAATTAGGTCTAGTGTGTAGTTTAACACCAGTGTTTCTTTGTTGAGTTTCTGTCTGGGTGAACTGTAGGTTCCTGAGACTGGCTGTTGAAGTCTTCTACTATTATTGTATTGCAGTCCATCTCCATTCTCAGGTGTTAACGTTTGCTTTATATACTTGGGAGCTCCAGTGTTGGGGGCGTAGATAGTTATAATTGTTATATCCTCTTGCTGAATTGACTCCTTTATCATTATTTAGTGACCTTCTTTTTACAGTCTTTGATTTATAGTCTATTTTATCTGATATAAGTATAGTATAATTGCTCTTTATTGGTTTTTAGTTACATGGAATATCTTTTAAAGCGAACCTGCTACAGTGTGGCGCAGCTGAACAGCCACTCTGATTTGGCGTCTCCTTTGGCAGAAATACAGAGCACAATTTATAGGGCTGGCGATGTCCCACCTCCCCCCTTTGCCACTGCCTGTCCTCAGGGATATTTCTCCATTCAGACACTCTCAGTGCTTCCTGTGGGTTAAGGTGGGGACAGGTCTCCTTCCCAGGAACCCAAGAAGCTGGGTGTCTACCTCCATCTCACTTTTGTCAGTATAGAAATAAGTTAGCTGGAGGAAAATTTTCCATGTGCTTGGTGCTGGGCAGGATGGGGGAAGAGGCACCACAGATGTGGAAATCTGATTCTCTTACCATCTGCTCGGGTTTTTCTTTTCACTTCTCTGTGGTCCCAGGAACTGTTTCATCTTCATGTTTGCATTCTGGGATATTTCTGGTGATAATCTCTGTGCTGTATGTTTGTTTTTTGGTTTTCTGGGGGTAGGGGGACTGAAGCCAGCTTGCTTCTGTGCTGCCGTTTTGGAGTGGAAGTCTTGATGAGTTCTGACGAATTTATGCACCTGTGTATCCACCACTACAAACAAAATATAGACTGTTTCTCTCATCCCAAAGTGTTCTCTTGTGCTATTTCTTAAAATCTCCATCTTTGCCACCACCACCTTTGGATCAGACAGCTGCGGATCTGCTTCTGTCACCAAGGAGTCCTGTGTCCTGACTAGAGTCTCACACACATGGAGCCGCCCAACGTGCAGCCTTCTGCAGCTGGCTCCTTTGGCTGAGACCCATCTGTGCCGCTGTGTGTCTCAGTAGTTTGCTCCTTGTCACTGCTGAGTGGGTCCCGTTGCTCGGATGAACTACAATCTGGTTACCATTTGGCTGTTAATGGACACCTGGCTGCTATCATAACATGTGCAAGTCTTCCAGTATACATTCTGATTTCTCTTGGGTAAACAACTAGGAGTAGAATTGCCAGGTCTTGTATCTCAACTTTATAAAAAACTAAAGTAACTCTCCATTCCCATTCCCATGAGCAGTGTGTGTGTGTTCCATTTCCTCTACTCCGTCCCCAACATTTGGGACTGTCTGCTTTTCTCATCTCCGCTGTTCTAACAGATGCATGCTGATGTCTCACTGTGCTTTTTTTTTTTTTTTTTGAGACAGTCTCACTTTGTGGCCCAGGCTAGAGTGAGTGCCATGGCGTCAGCCTGGCTCACAGCAACCTCAAACTCCTGGGCTCAAGCAATCCTCCTGCCTCAGCCTCCCGAGGAGCTGGGACTACAGGTATGCGCCACCATGCCCGGCTACTTTTTTCTATATACCTTTAGTTGGCCAATGAATTTCTATTTTTAGTAGAGATGGGGTCTCGCTCTTGCTCAGGTTGGTTTCGAACTCCTGAGCTCAAATGACCCACCCACCTCCGCCTCCCAGAGAGCTAGGATTACAGCCGTGAGCCACTGCGCCCGGCCTCACTGTGCTTTTAAGTTGTGTTTTGGGGGGCAGTTTTAAAGCATATTTTAAGCCTTTGACTCATTAGATCAGGAAGTGTTGAAGACTTATATAAAGGGGAGGGAAGTGAAACAAGACCTAAAACAAGAACATGAATAGATGAAGCTCTTGAAACTCGAAAAAGCTGAAGAAATGTTAAGAGTTATAATTATCTGTAGAGGCTAAGGACACGAATTCTGGATTCAAGTCCCAGCTCCACTGCTTACTTGCTGTGTGACCTTTGGCAAGTTAATCATTCGCTCTGACCCTCACTTTCCGCATCTATAAAATGGGGATACCCCCTCAATGCTCTCATAGGAGAATTAAATGACTTAATGTATGTTAAGCCTTAACTGGTGCCTGGCTATAGTAAGCGCTATGAGAGTCATTATTACTACTGTGCCTATTATTGAATTTCTTGTAATTCTGAATCCTCCCACCTCGCGCCCCCAGCACTTTGGGGGGTGCTTATTGGGACTACCACCAGGGGTCAGGCTTCAGCACCTTTCATGACCCAAACGGCGCCGTGTTTGAGGGCGCCAGACGCCCACCAACAAGAATGCCTTCTAGGACCCCGTCCAGCCTTTCCTTCCCGGACCTGATCCGTTACCCGCTGGCGACCTCTGGCCGCTCCTCCGGGAGGAAGACAGCTCCTCCTCTCCCTCAGGTAGGCTTGAAACACCGCGGAGCCGGGGGAGGGCGGGGCTGACCTCGTGCAAAGGTCCGGGTCTCCCTGGCCCACGGCAGGGCCCGTCGGAAGGGCGTAGATTTGGCCTAAAGGGGCTCTTTCCTGCTCCCTTCCTGGCAGCCCGCCAGCGGCCGGGCTCGGTCCCCAAGCAGCTGGCGAGCCTCCCGGGAACAGCACTGCGCGCCCTGCAGAGCGCGCGCCGGCCCTGCCGCCCGGGTGTGCCTGCCCGGCGCGGTCGTTCACTCGGCGGTTCGTGCATGCGTTCATCCACGGGCCCCCGGAGTGCCCGCAGCCAGAGACCAGGAAGGCGCGGTCCTGCCGGGGAGAGCCCGCAGCCGGGTGTGCGCGCAGGACTCGGGAGGCCGCCGGAGGGGCTCCCCGGGGCTCCCCAGCGACCGTGAACTTGCGGAGCAGCCGGCAGGGGGTGCTTCCCTCCCCGCGTCCTGTGTCTGCGTGGCCTCAGCTCACTCCAGGATCAGGCGAGCCTGAGTTGGACGTGCGTCCAGCCAGCGCCCTCCCATCCCCGAGCGCTGGTAGGGAGAGCATTTCCAACGCTGGGCATCTGTAACTATCGGCAGAGCACCTGCGAGCTCAGAGCTCAGGGGACAGCCGTGGGAAGGGACGCCTCCCCCGGGCCTGCGGGGCGAGCGCAGCACTGGTAAGAGAGGTAAGTGGGGACCCGGTCCCCAAGCCTTGGGGAGCCCCGTTCGCGCGACCGAGGTGCTGGGGTGCCGCCTTTCGGGGGCGCGTCCTAACTCCTTTGTATCCCAAGGGCAACGGAAGCTATTGAGAGGTTGTAGGCAGGAAAGGGGCGGGATCAGATTTGAGATTTTAAATGATTATTCAGATTAGGGAGAGGCACCCAGGAACCCCAACTGTTTGTAATGTGTCACTCCTTAAGCTGGAAGGTAATTTCACTGATGTTGGCCCTTTTGCCTGCCTGGATAACTCATAATTGAGAGAGACAGAGACAGGGACAGGCCACTCTGCCACTCTGGCGGCGAGTGGCCCCTGCAGCAATTCTGGTGAGGCTGGTGGCACCGGAGCTGGGGAAAGGAGGCAGGACCTCGGGGTTGGAGGCCGGAGCTGGAGGCCACCCGGTTTGCGGGTCGCACTGAGCCCTGCCTCCCTGACACCCCCAGGATGGCCTCACCCCAGGCCTGGGCTGCTCTGCTCTCTCAAGAGCAGGGGTGTGCCACTCCGGATGTGGGCCCACGGGAAAGGATCCCCTCCACCCTGCCCCTCGCCCCTCCCCTGCCAACACACCTGGGGTTCCAGGTAAAGGGCTGGAAGGGCTTCATTACCCGCTCACCTGACTTTTTATTGAACTAGTGCAGGTTTAGGAGTTTGAATTTACACTATTCATGTGCTCTGTAAGCTCCCCATCAGAGACACTAACAAAAATGGGTCTGGCCACTGGGACAAGCCACGGACTAGGAAAAGGTGTTTGCGCTGAACACACACAACGAAGGAATAGACAACAGTTAACATACAACAAAGAACAGAGAACAGGTTAACACACACACAACAAAGGAACAGACAATAAATGAACACACACCCAACAGAGGAATCGACAACAGATTAACGCATGCAACAAAAGAATACATAATGGGTTAAAACCTAGTAGTCATGTGTGACTCACCTACTTCAAGGTACATTTTTCTAATATATTTTATTTTTTTATTTCAGGGTATTATGAGGGTACAAACATTTTGGTTACATTTTATGTCTTTGCCTCTCCCCAGTGAGAGTTAGGAGGTATGCCCTTCCCCTCTACAATGCTCATTGTGTCCTTTAGTTGTGAGTTTACCCCCCCAACCCCCTGATCTCTGGAGGATATTTCTACCAAGTGAGCACCATTGTGTTAATCAGTCAGTGCCAATTTGGTGGCGAGTACAAGGGGAGCCTATTCTTCTGATCTTGTGTTACCTCACTTTGGATAATTGGCTCAAGCTCAATCCAGGAAAATATAAAGGGTGCTAGATCACTGTCGTTTCTTATAATTGACTAATATTCCACTGTATACATATACCAAATTTTAATCATCCACTCATGAATTGATGGGCACTTGGGTTGCTTCCACATCCTTACAATAGTAAATTGTGCTGCCATAAACATTTGGGTACAGATGTCTTTATTATAGAATGTCTTTTGCTGTTTTGGGTAAATGCCTAATAGTGCTTTTGCTGGATCAAATGGTATTTCTATTTTTAGCTCTTTGAGGTATCTTCAAATCCTTTTCCACAGAGGTTGCACTAATTTGCAGTCCGACCAACAGTGTAAGTGTTCCAGGCCGGGTGTGGTGGCTCATGCCTGTAATCCTAGCACTCTGGGAGGCCAAGGTGGATCATTTGCGCTCAGGAGTTTGAGACCACCCTGAGCAAGAGCGAGACCCCGTCTCTACTTAAAAAAATAGAAAGAAATTAGCTGAACAACTAAAAATATATATAAAAAATTAGCCGGGCATGGTGGCGCATGCCTGTAGTCCCAGTTACTTGGGAGGCTGAGGCAGGAGGATTGCTTGAGCCCAGGAGTTTGAGGTTGCTGTGAGCTGGGCTGATGCCACAGCACTCTAGCCTGGGCAACAGAGTGAGACTGTCTCAAAAAAACAAAAACAAAAGTGTTCCTGTCTCTCCGCATTCTCACCAGCACTTTTTGTTTGGGGATTTTTTTGATAGAGGCCAATCTCACTGGGGTTAGGTGATATCTCATTGTGGTTTTGATTTGCATTTCTCTAATGATTAGAGACGTTAAGCATTTTTTTATGTTTCCTGGCCATTAATCTGTCTTCTTTTTGTTCTTTCTTTCTGAGACACAGTCTCACTCTGTTGCCCTGGCTAGAGTGCCGTAACGTCAGCCTAGCTCACAGCAACCTCAAACTCCTGGGCTCAAACGATCCTCCTGCCTCAGCCTCCCGAGTAGCTGGGACTACAGGCATGCACCACCATGCCTAGCTAATTTTTTCTATTTTTGTTAGAGATGTTCTTGCTCAGGCTAGTCTCAAACTCCTGAGTTCAAACAATCCGCCTGCCTTGGCCTCCCAGAGTGCTAGGATTATAGGCGTGAGCCACTGCTCCTGGCCTATTCTGTCTTCTTTTGAAAAGTTTCTGTTCATTTCCATTGCCCATTTATTGATGGGGTTGTTTGATTTTTTTCTTGTTGATTCTTTTTTTTGTGTGTGTGAGACAGAGTCTCACTCTGTTGCCCAGGCTAGAGTGCCGTGGTGTCAGCCTAGCTCACAGCAACCTCAAATTCCTGGGCTTAAGGAATCCTCCTGCCTCAGCCTCCCTAGTAGCTGGGACTACAGGCATGCGCCACCATGCCTGGCTAATTTTTTCTATATATTTTTAGTTATTCGGCTAATTTCTTTTTATTTTTAGTAGAGACAGGGTTTTGCTCTTGCTTAGGCTGGTGTTGAACTCCTGACCTTGAGTGATCCTCCCGCCACAGCCTCCCAGAGTGCTAGGGTTACGAGCGTGAGCCACAGCGCCAGGCTTGTTGATTCTTGTAAGTTCTAGATAGATTCTTGATATCAGCCTCAAGGTACATTTAAACAGTGCTCTACTGAAGATGACTCAAAAAAATGACTCCAAGAAAGGACCCTAATGGTGAGGTTTCGTGCCCCTGGCATTTGCATATTATGTAGCTGTTTTGGACAGGGGTTTTACTTGGGCTCAAATAGCTAATGTGAATCTTAGCAGACCCCTCCTCTGGTAACTGAATTGTAATGAAAATCCCAGGTGAGAATTGAGACATTGCACTGGGAATGGGGCATGCGGGTGAAAGTGGCAGAAATCCTATCCACCTTTTCATTTTTACCAACGCTTCCAGTGAGGCTTGTGGCTGGGCGTCTTTTCATGTATACTTTTAGAGAAAGCGTGCAAAATCAGTGCTCATGTTTTGGTTCTGCTACCATCACCTTTGTGGATTGTCTGTGGACTCTGGCCCTGGTGCAATAGGGCAAATATAAATAAAAAAACAAGCAGCTGTTAAAACAACAGTGAGGTACCACCACCCTCCCATTAGAGTGGCTGAAATCCAGAACACTGGCAGCGCCAAATGCTGGGAGAACGTGGAGCAACAGGAACTCATGCATTTCTGGTGGGAATGCAAAGTGGTCCAGCCATTTTGGAAGACAATTTGACAGTTTCTTACAAAACTAACATGCCCTTAACATATAATCCCGCAATTGCACTCCTTGGTATACACTCAAAGGAGCTAAAAACTATGTCCGCGCAAAAACTTATGGTTATAGCCACTTTCTTCATAATTGCCAAAACTTGGGGGGAGGGGGCATGGGCAATATAAGTAACCTTAACACTTGTACCCCCATAATTCACTAAAATAATAAAAAGAAAAGATTTAAAAAAATAATTGCCAAAACTTGAAAGCAACCAAGATGCCCTTCAGCAGGTGAATGGATAACTGAACTGTGGTACATCCACAAGGTGGAAAATATTCAGCACTAAGAAGAAACGAGCGCCCAGGCCACAAACAGACATGGGAGGAATCAGGCCCCTTACTCAGTTCACTCGGTGCTGCTGCCACCGAATGCCACAGACTCGGCAATTTGCAATGAACAGAAACTTACTGGCTTAGGGCTCTGGAGTCTGGGAAGTCCGATACCTGCGGTGGCGTCTGGCTAGGGCCTCCTCAATTTGTCATCAACGTGGGAGGGCAAAGAGAGGGTGAGAGAGAGCAAGGATCCGACTCACAGCCTCAAGCCCTTCATAACGGGCATTCATGCGCTCATGAGGGTGGGGAGCCCCCACGGCCTACATGCCTCCCACTGGGCCCCGCCCCCGGCACTGTTGCACTGGGGATTAACTTCCCAACACTTGCTTTTTAGAGGATACATTCTGTAAGATTCCAACTATTTGACACCCTGGAAAAGGCCAAACTATGAGCAGGACAAAGATCAGTGGTTGCTGGGGCACGGGAGGGGACAGGGAGGCACAGGGGACTTTTAGGGCCACACAAACACCCCGCTCACTCGGCGCTATAACGATGGATTCATGACATTATACCGCAGGGGTGGCGGAACTCCAACTCCTCATGTCGATAAATTGGCGTAAGATTAACAGGAGACAAGCACATAGATTTATTTAATGCAAGTTAGATTTATCTGATGCAAGTGGCTCAGGAACCCCCTACAGGGAAAGGAAGACCCAAAGAGAAGTTAGGCTCAAACCTTACATGCTGAACTGGACAAAGAACAGCAAGAAAAAGCAGCTAAATTATGGGAGAAAGCTTAAAAGATAAGAGTTGTTTTAACAAGGTCTGTGCAGAATTCTCTGTAACTTAGGTCCTCAGTTGCCACCAAGGTTCCACCGCGGTGCGGGACGCTGGCAGCGGGGCCAGCTCGTGTGTCGGGGCCGGTGGTGTACGGGAAATCTCTGCTTTCTGCTCAATTTTGCTGTGAACCTAAAACTGCTCTAAGGAAGAGTCTCTCTCTCTCTCTATATATATATATTTTTTTTTTTTTTAAAAAAAGGCTTCATTTTCCTTGTTGAAAATAAGGGAAAAGGCCTTCTTTTCCTCCCCTTTCTTGCAGATTTCTTTCTCTGTCCTTTCCAAATTCATTTACATCTTTTTAATGGTTAAACAGGCCTCTTGCCAGTCTAACAGCTCAGGCTCGTTTCCTGCGGGACCTGGGGCCATCTCTTTGACACACGGACCCCAGGGAAGACAGCAGCCTGCCCCACTCCAAGTCGCAAAACCCTTCTCCAGTCCTAAAGATCCGAGAAACTGAGTGATCGTATCCTGCAAACACGAGCGTAATGGGTTTTGTCCGCCCGGCTCCGGGACAGGGCAGCTGGTTCTCCGTCTTTGAAATCCCCGAGCGGATCGCCCGGGATGCCCCCCGCGCGCTGGCTTAATGCTTACTCCGTCATATCCATCATAAAGCCGTTCTCTTCCTCTTCTACCTTTGCGGAGAGACTTTCTGGGCTGGCAGGAGATTTTGTTTTTAATTTTATGTCCCCACCAGGGCCCATGTCCAGAGCCGGAGCCGGGACGTGTGGTTTGGCGAGCGCGGGTGCCTGTGGAGCCAGCGCTGGGGACTGGGGGGGCTGAGGAGGCTGACCTTAGGTTCAAGGGTGACATGGGGTTCCAGTCCTTGCCCTGTCTGCCTTTGACAGCCGCCCAGAGCAGGGGCAAGTTCATCTCTCTGCCCCGGGAAGCACATGACCAGCTCTTCCTGGGCCTGAAGTGTGTCCTCTGTGAAGTGGCGAGAAGAATATGCTGTCCAGAGAGTAGGGGAGCAGCCCAAACTGCCCCCCAAATCTGCCCCTCCTGCCCCTCTGTGAGGACCCCCTGTGGAGCCCCCTGGGCTTCTCCTTTGATGTTGGGCCCCCCCCCTCCCCCGCATGCTGGCTGCCTGTGTTCAGTCCACCCGCTGGGCCTCGTGTTTGCTCTGCTCATTCCACAGACGGTCTCTGAGCCTCCACCATCGCCGAGGGCTTCTGTGTCCTGGGAAAGTCCCCCGCCACGGCGGGGCTGCGGGATTCTGTGAACCCATCCCTGTCGTCCAGGGCAGTGTGGCCCGTGCAGTAGAGGCAGGGTGCAGAGCACAGCAGCCTCCCAGCTCAGGGCAGGGCCAGTGCCACCTCCGCAGGGTCTTCAAGGGGAGAGAGAGCGACGGCATCCCAGGGAGAGGACCGCAGGAGCGAAGCAGGAGGTGGGGAGACCTGGCCTGGAGTACCCGGGGCTGCCCAGGGCTTGGGTGATGTTGGAGCAGAAAGGCCAGGCTGGGGCCGTGGAGCTAAGACCAGAGCTGCCGGCAGAGCCCCGTCCTGGGCTGTCTCCTTTGCCCCTGGGAAGCCCGGGCTCCATCCCTATCCAGAGGAACAAGTTGGCACCAGCGTGAGACTACACGTGTCGGCGGGGGGCTGGGGAGGTCAGAGAAGGCCTGAGGGGCAGGACAACGGTGGGAAGAAAGGCCACAGGACTGGACAGACACCCCCTGCCCGACTCCAGGGCAGTACATGGCCCTGACACAGCAGGGGGCAGCGGGTGGGCGGGAGGGGCGGGAGGAGGGGTCAGGAAGTGACTTGGCGCTGCCTGGCCTCAAGAGCACAGTGCTGGCACAGGGACCTCCAAGAGCACTCAGGAGACCTGGGCAGGGGCGGGGACGCACGTGCAGGTGGCACAGGGTGGCCGCCAGGCTGTCCCAGCGGCCGGGCGGCCCCTCGTGGGCTTAGCACGCCTGACAGCACTAACACGGGCCTGGCCGGCCAAGCAAATCTTTTGTCCAGGGCGGCGCTGAGCCAGCAGGGCACCGCCCGGTATAAACAGGCCCTGCGGGGACAGGCGGGTGGCACCATGGCACAGCGGTCGGGGAAGGTGAGTGCACCTCGCATGGACACCAGCCGGGGATGGGGGAAGGAGGGGGTTGCCAGGGCCCCACCATTGCCCCTCGTACAGGGCATGGGGGAGGGGCACACTGTTGACAAACCCAAGCAAAGTTAATTTAATTTCTTAATAAAATGGGGGCAGTTGGCAGAGGGCCTCTCTGGTGTGGATGTATAGGAAGGTTTCTTCCACATGCCCTCCTGGGGTCCCAGCCCTGCCTCTCCTACCTGAGTCAGGAGCAGGGAGGGTGGGGGACCTGTCCCTGCCTTGGGGTCAGGGAGTCCTGGCTTGTCCCCACGGCCCTGGCCCTGCTGCTGTCTCTTCTTTGCCTGAGCTGGTCTAGGTGTGGCCTCTCCTGCTTCAGGGGCACTGGGGGCTTGTTCTCTGCAAAATGTTGAGATTTGAGGGACATTCTGATACTCTGGGTGCCCAGGGGTCCCTGAATGTCTCGGAGGCCCCTGAGCAGACCTGTCTCGTGCAGGAAGGGTGGCACATTTGCTGTCTCTCCCCTTTCTGTAGCTCATCTCCCCGTCCTCGCTAATCTGCAAACCCCGTGGTCTCCACATCCAAGTGCGTGCTGAGAGCACGGCCGGGGCAGTCTGTGCGGCCCGGCCGTGCCACCATAGCTGTAAAGCAACCACGGCCTCCCCCCACGGTGTGCCATGAGCCATACCCCCGTGGGGCCACAGTGCCTTGCTTCCCACTCCTACCCCCCGCACCCAAGCGGGATAGGGAAAGGAAGAGTCCAGAAAATCCATGGTGGCCTGGCCGACAAAGCATCCATCCATGCACATCCCCTGGCCAGCGCCGCGGCCACACCTCAGTGCACAGGGCCTGCGAGAGCAGTTCTGCCATGTTCTCCTGGGAGGATTGGAAATGCTGGCAGAGCACAAGTGACAACGGTTACTGGGTAACAGGACTGTCCTATGACAGGGTACTTCTAGGGCCACAATTCTTGAAACTCAAAGAGTTATTGAATGGCTGGAATTTTAGGTTCCACTTTAGGAAGTGAGTTTTGGGGATTGTTAGTGCTTCCCCTTGTTTAGTTTGGGGACAAGGACGACCTGTCCGTGTTATGTAGCTATAGGATGTTCTGTCTGAACTACTGACGGGTTGACACAGTTCCAGACCTGACACATGTCTGTTAGCCAAAGGAGTGGCCTACAAAACAAAGAGGGACAGGGTGACACTTATAAAGCCCTCTTTTGAGAACACTAATCCCGTGCCGGGCCATGACACCACAGCCTGGGCAGATTCAGCCTCTCCGGTTAAGGAGGCCCAACCCCAGGAACCTGACTTTCTGCAAAATGAATGTAGGGCTATCATGATGGGGCTGTGGGTATTTATTATTTTGAGAACATTTCCTTTAATGTTATTATGGGTGTCATGTTTTAACAGTAAAGAAGGATGAGTCTTAAAAATGCAGTGGAGGTTTGAAAAGAGCCCGTTTGCAAATGGGCACCCAGACCGAGGGTGAGCCTTGTCCCCAGACAGCTGCTTACACATGTCTGCTCTGCGGTAGAGGAGGGCCGGGAGCTGGGTCTGGATCCGCCAGCCATTCATTCTTCCCCAGTCAGCACATGGCGTTGGGCACCCACTGTGCGCAGCAGGGCTGGGCCTTAGGGGCCTGAGAGTTGGGGTTCGGAGGAAGTGCCGGGCTGGGGCCCAGACACCAGCCTCCAACACTGCAGGCGGGAAGCCCTGACCCTGAGCTCTCCAACCCGGCCTTTCTAGATCACTCTCTATGAGGGCAAGCACTTCACAGGGCGGAAGCTGGAGGTCTTCGGGGACTGCGACAACTTCCAGGACCGAGGCTTTATGAACCGAGTGAACTCCATCCGCGTGGAGAGCGGAGCCTGGGTCTGCTTTGACCACCCCGACTTCCGGGGCCAGCAGTTCATCTTGGAGCACGGCGACTACCCCGACTTCTTCCGCTGGAACGGCCACAACGACCACATGGGCTCCTGTCGGCCTGTAGGGATGGTGAGTGGGCCACTCCGCTGGGGGCTGCGGGGCTTCCCGCTGGAGTGGCCGGGGGCCAGGCCTGGCAGACAGGGGACAAGGAATCAGGGAGTGTAGGGCTGCCAGCTCGAAGGTCTCTAAGATGAGAGAGCCCTGCCCGGAGCCACCACCGGCACGAGCGGGAGAAGGTGTGTGGGCCGTGTTGCAGGGGACCGAGTGGGAGTGCCCTGGGGAGTCTTCATGCATGTGTCAGGAGACCACTTTGAATTCTCAGCCCCAAAGTCTAGCCAAACTTTCCATTTAGAATGCTGCTGAAATGGCATACGTTTGGGTTTGCAACCGGAGGGGAGGCACTCAGCTAGCGTGCAGCTGGCGTGAGCCTGGTGTGTCCACTGGTGCCGATGATCTTGTGGCACCTTCCGGACCCTTCTGTGCTCTGGTGTCAGAGTGGCTCCTGGAAGAAGCTGAAGCATCACTGGCCAGTGAGTGGAAAATCTGGAGGCGGAGCCTATGGTTACACAGGTGTGACCCGGTGTCTGGGGAGCAGCTGAGAGGTGTTGCTCTCCATGGCGAAGGATGTTTACGTCTAGCTGCCCCTACGGTGGGATTTGAGGAATGGGGTTTTCCTCCAGGTCACAAGTACTAACTGACCTGCTGTGAATTCTGGAGGTTTGGGTGGTAAGTGGCTGGTTGCTGACCCCGGGCCAGGAGGTGCTGGGGAGCATCTGATGACTCCGGGGAAGGGGCCCCTGTGCGGGGACTCCCTCTCTTTTCTGTGTCGGTTGCAAAACCAGCTGAGCTTTGACATCTCGAGTAGTGAGAATGCTTTCTCAGTGTTTCCACCAGGCCGTGGACATTTGGAAAAGAGGAATTAAAATGGTTGTTGTGGATCCTGCATAGTGCTGTCTGTATGACACATATACTAGGTATCTTCCGAATGCCATTCCGTGAGAGCTGTCCTTGAGGCCAGCTGTGACGCAGACCTGAGCCCCACGGGCTTCTGTCCCCCGCAGGAGCTGGCCCCCCTCTGTCTCCGGGAAACACGCGGAAGCGTACGGGGAGATGCATGCGCTGACCCTAGTGAACGGTGATGTCAGGGCCAGCAGGGACTTCAGCAAGCGAGATCTGTTATTTGTTTTAGATTTTCAGCTTCCTGTTTTAATAAAAGGTTCTATTACAGTTTTAAAATATTATCATTTGAAGGCCTGCCTGTGGCCTGCAGCCCAGGGCAGAGAGGGCAAAGCCTGGTGATGGTGTGGCCGGGGCAGAAGTCCCCCAGGCTGAGCAGCAGGAGGGAGCCCAGGGACCCAGGCCTGGTCTGAGAGGGGACACTGGCCCCTGGTCAGTCTTGCCCTCTCTGGACTTGGATTCTTTAGTTGTAAAAAGAGGAGATTGGACTAGTTCGGTGGCTTTGAAACTTTTTAAAGTAATGGAGCCTTTTCATCCACCCACATCTTATGTGAAAGAACAAACACAAGTGCTGGGGGCAGTGTGTGTGTTGGGGTGAGGGCACTCACGGCCCCCCAGCCCAGCCCAGCCCAGGAACTGCGGGGTGCCTAGAGCCCTGGGGTGATCAGAGCTCCTTCCTGAGCGGGGCTTCTGTGTATGGGGAGGGGAACTCAGAGCGTTTTCCTTCTGTCCTTCCTCCCTTTGCTTGGGTCTCGGAGCACGGGGAACATTTCCGCCTAGAAATCTTCGAGGGCTGCAACTTCACGGGCCAGTGCCTGGAGTTCGTGGAGGACTGCCCCTTCCTCCAGAGCAGGGGCTGGGCCAAGAACTGCATCAACGCCATCAAGGTGTACGGGGATGGAGCGTGAGTAATGGCCGAGTGGCTGCCAACCCCAGGCCTAGCAGAGCCCCGCACAGCCAGGTGTGGGGAGGCTGCCTGCCAAGCAAGCGCAGGACTGGCGGTGGGGTGGGTAGAATGCCCAGTATAGACTGCAGAGCTCACCCCCGAACTGGACTTCTTTGCAGACCCCCACCACGCTGACCTCCCCGGGGAGACAGACTTTGGGTGGCTCACTCTGGTAGACAGAGCGTAGCTTGGGGGGGATGTGTCCCCAGGCCCAGAAGGGCTTGTCTGCCCTGCTCCAGAGCAACCGTCAGAACCCTGTCCTGCTGCCCCTGCATACCTGGGCTTCCTTCTGGTCAGCCCAGGGGCGGCCCACACTGCCCCACGCACTCCCCCAGGCAGAGCCGTACCCCGAGCACTTTCAAGTTGGCCACCTCTTTTTATCCTCCGGACCACTCTATGGGGTAGATACCATTGCACCCATTTTGCAGAGGAGCAAACTGAGACTCAGAAGGTCACCTGGCCCCAGCATGTGAGTGGCACAGCTGGGACTGCAGCCAAATCTGTCCCTGTTCTAAAGCTGGTGACTTCCCAGGCCTAAGCCCCCTCCCCTCGAGAGAAGGGCACCTCCCAGTGCATGGTTGGTCCAGGAGCCTGGCTCTCGTCTAAGCAGCTAGGGGGCCGTTTGCCTTCTATGCTCCGGAAGTTCAGGTCAGCTGGGGGACTGAAGGCAGAGGCCGAACCAAGGCAGAGCTATGTACAGTTGACCCTCCCTACCACGGGTTCCACGTCCGTGGATGCAACCAACCGTGGATCGAAAATACACATTTTTAAATTTCTGTACTGAACAAGTACAGACGTTCTTCTTGTCATCATTCCCTAAACAATACAGTAAAACAACTATCTGTACTGCATTTACACTGCATTAGTTCCTGTAGGTAATCTAGACACATTCACATACAGTAAGTTCTCACTTAGCGTGGTCCACAGCTTCTTGGAAGCTGCAACTTCAAGCGAAACAATGTGCGGCAGCTCCTCGAATAATATCCTCTGGTTCAACACCATTTCATTATAAGGTTAATGAGAAAAAAATGGTTTTGTTATACGTCGTTTCACTTAAAGTCGAAGTTTCCAAGAGCCTATTGACAACGTTAAGTGGGGACTATACACAGGGATGTGCACAGGTTATATGCAAATACTGTGCCATTTTATATCAGGGACGTGAGCATCCGAGGACTTGGGTATCCGTGGGAGGCCGCAGAATCAGTCCCCCGTGGGTGTGTGGATGGGGAGGGATGGCTGTGTCCAGGCCACCTTCCCCTGGGTGGCCTGACGTTGGCTCCCATCCTGCTGTTCCTTCGTCACTCTGGCTGGTCACCCTGGCTCAATCCAGGACCCTGGTTTTCACCTCTGCTTTCCTTCTGCCTATTTGAAAGTCCACGCCTGCCCTAAACTGATGGCACTTGGGAGTCCAGGGGTAGATTTCCAAAGCAACAACTTTCCCGGAACATTTGCTAGCTAAATCGTGTCTCAGGAGGCCAAAGTCACACCTTTGTATGGAAGATGTCTGAGACCCAAGACACACACTCCCCATCCCCCACCTGGAGCCTCGGGGGCTTGTTAGGAAAAAGGTGGGGAACATAGGAGCTCACATCTTCAACTGGGGGGGCATGTGATCTCTGTGAACCCCCACCTTCCCTGCACGAAGCCGCTGGGCAGGACGTCGCCAGAGGCTGCAGGAGGTGAGTGACTCCACGTGAGAGCCCTGGTGTGCTCAGCCTGTGCCTCCTGTGACTTTAGCTCTTCAAAAAAAATTTAAGCTCTTGCCAAGGAGAAGCTGCCTGGATGGTGACACCCCTGGATCTGGATAGTGGCACGTCCAGGAGGCCTTTCCTGGGGTCTTGTGGGCGTGCCACGAGGCAGGGCCCCTCCACCACCTCCAAGATGCCAAGAGTCATTTCCCTCTGGGTCCCACATCAGCTCAAGAATGACCTGTCACCTCTGACCCCTGTCCTGGAGGGTACTTGGAGGGTAAAGCCCTGGCATTTCCGCCACCCCCATTTCCCACCCCCGGGAGGGTGCAGTGCTAATGTGGATAGGCCATGACCTCCTCCCTGCCTCTTTTTTTGTGTCTCACTTTGTTGCCCAGGCTGGAGTGCAGTGGCACAATCATAGCTCATTACAGCCCTGAACTCCTGGGCCCAAGTGATCCTCCTGCCTCAGCCTCCTGAGCAGCTGGGACTACAGGCGCGTGCCCCCACACTGGGCTAATTTTTTAATTTTTATTTTTTGTAGAGATGGGGGTCTCGCTGTGTTGCCCAGGCTGGTCTCGAATTCCACACCAGGCCCCTCTTCTTTCTGTGTCCTCCCAACAGTCACAGCCAGGACAGGGGAGAGGAGGGTTTGCAGGGGTCACCCAACCAGTTCCCTGCCCTGTCCTTCTGGGGACACCTGTGAGAGCACCAGGATGGTCCAGGACACCCCTTGGAGTGTTTCCTGCCTGCCACTCGGTAGAGAGGGGTGGTTTAAGCCTGAGGGGCTGCTGAGGCCCCAGCTGAGGCTGCAGGTGTGGAGGTAGGGAGGCCCTGGGGGGGAGTTTCTGGATCTGGGGGCCCCAGGCCTGCTTGAGCCCCCAGCAGGTGCTCCCTGCTCATTCCCATCCTCCCTCCACCTGTGCCTTTTTATTCTTGTCCCCTGACCCTTGAAGCAGCAGACTGTGCCAGGCACCAGGTGTGACAAGCCAGGCTTGTGTCTGAGATGGTGAGGAAAGGACAGGGTTGGGCCGGCCCCTGCTCCGCTGCTGTCCCAAGGTGTCCTCCCTGGACCACACTCCCCTTCCCAGGCAGAGGCCACTCTTCCTTCTGGGCCCTCCTCATCCCTCCTGGCCAGACCTCCCTAATTACCTGGGCCAGCTCCAGGGCCAGGGGCCCTGCTCACCGCTGCCCCCACCATCACTGGCCTCCCAGCCCGCTTGCTCCACAAGGACTTGTCCTGTTTCTGCTCTCTGGGTCGTTGGTGCTGTCCAGGTGCTCAGCGCTGTGGAAAGGCCCCACGGGACACCCGTGTCCTGCCTGCAGCCCATGTCCCACTGCTGTGCAGCCCCCCAGGCAGGAGAGGGCAGGAACCATGTCCCTCTGCCTTTGGCGCCTCCCATACCTGACACAGTGCTGGGCACAGCGGTGGGAGCCCCACAGCACCTGTTGGATGAGTGAGCAGCTGCAACTGGCCCCCAGTGTGTGCCAGGCCCCTGCCAGGTGCTCAGGTTCCCTCTGTGCCAGACTGTCCCTTCAGGAAGCAGGGGGTGCGGGGCGGGCAACGGCAGCAGCGCATCCTGGAGTCACTCCTTGCCACGGGGTGGCTGAGAAAGTGGGCAGATACCGGGCACCCCCCCCCACGTCACGCCCCAGCGCTGACCCAACACGGGGGGGGGGAAGGACGAAAGCCAAGGGCGGGGCCTGGGCGCCCCCGGGGTGCCGGGAGTGAAGGGGAGCCACCCCGGGCGGGCATGGGCGCGGGTGCGGGCTGGCTCTCTGTCGGGCACCGGTGGCATGCCAGCGGCCACCTGACCCGCCCCCCCCCTCCAGGTGGGTCCTGTACGAGGAGCCCAACTACCGCGGCCGCATGTACGTGGTGGAGAGGGGCGACTTCCGCAGCTTCTCCGACTGGGAGGCCCACAGCGCCCGCGTGCAGTCGCTCCGCAGGGTGGTCAACTTCTTCTAGCCAGGCCCGCCCGCCCGCCTGGCCGGGCGCAGCCCTGGGGACAGGAGGGACCCTGGGGACGGGGACTTCGGGACAGCTGACAATAAAAGTCCTGACAGCGGAGCGCTGAGGCCTCGCAGTGCTTCCCTCGCCGCCCCGGGGTGCGGGGCTGGCCCAGGCCCGGGCGGGGGGCGGGCGGAGGAGGGGTGAGGGGGGAAGGGCGGGCACGCCGGGGGCGGGAGACGCGATGGGGGCGGGGCGGGCCGTCCCCTTCCGGGCTGCGCGGGACCGCGGGGTCACGTGGCTGCGCTGCGGTCAGAGACCTGCCTCAGGGGTCCCGTGTGTACTTCTTGGGGTTTTTGTCATCTCCGCCCTGCTCAGCCTCGGGCTTCCTGAAGGAGGCCGGTCTTCAAGGATGGGCTGGCGCCTGGGCGGCCCCGCCCCGTCAGGACGCTGTAGGGGCGAGCTTTGGGGCGGCGGGTGGGGCTGCTTGCACAGGTGGGCGCGCACCTTCGCCCCGCGCCGCGCCGCCGCACCAGGTGCCAGTCTCCGGGCCACTGGGTCCGCCTGTAGGGGGTGGGCTTGGATCTGGAGGGGACACCTCCACCCGGGGGCAGAAGGGAGGGAGGAGCCTGTCCTGGGAGGAGACCCCAGGCTGGACCCCACGCCCCAACACCGCCCCGCCCCCGCCTCCCCAGGGTCAGGGGGAGCTGGAGGGGAGCTTGCTGGTACTATAGGGTGGCCCAGGGAACTCCCCGCAGGTACCCCCCACAGAGTCCTGATGGAGACTGCAGGTGTAAGCGGCTGTCCCTCGAGGGCGCCTCTGCCATACGAGGTAACAAGGGAGTCCTCTGGGCGCCTGCGCAGGAGCCGGGCACTGCACTGGGTCCGAGGGCCGGCTCCCCCGCACAGGGACCGAACGATCTCTGCTCGCCTGGCCGGCCACAGCCGGCTGGGGGAGGGATCAGATCACCCACAGCTCCTACCAGGGTCAAGCTCAGTCCAGCCTCCAGCCCCCACTACGACTCCTGGGGGGCCCACCAGCTGGCTCCCCCCACTGGCAGTCCCCTCCCCCTCCTCACCACACATCTTGCTCCAGTTTGTTGAAGAGAGGTCCCAGTTTTTTGGCTGGGAAGCCGGGCTTCAAGCTGGCCACTCTCCTCAGGACCCCATGGGGAAGTACGTGAACTCTGGGACCGACACTTGAACCCCAGCTGAGACTGGCTGACAGGCTTAGGGGTGAGCAGTGGAACCGGGAGCTGAGCGGGGGAGAACGGGCTCCTGGAAGACAGGCACAAATGGCAGGGGCTGGATCCCGCTGCAGGGCCTGAGTGTGGAGGGGACGGGACGGCTGCGGGGCTAGTGGGGGTACCCATGTGCCAGTTCTCGGGGTATCCCCCAATCCGAGCCCTATGCCCCACTGAGACAGAAATGGAAAAAGGAGGATCATTAAGGGTCACCCCATTCACCCAGGACACTGTCCCCACTGAGAGCTGGGAAACAAAGATGTAGGAGCCCCGGGTGTGCTGCGGGACCCCACCCTGGCCGCCCCAGGATCAGCAAAAGCGGGTCAAGACATGAGCCCCCTAGGCGACCATCCCCCGCCCAGGAAAGGGGAAGGGGCTTCACAAAAGGCATACCTTCTACCCCAAATGCCCCCTGCCCCACCTCCTCTCACCTGTGAACCCCTGAACTGAGGACTGCCAGGTGAGTGGCTCTTCGCAGCCGGACCCTCCTCTGATGGCTCAGACCAAGGGCTGGGGGCCTCTACAGGCTACTGCAGCAGACCAGCCACCTTTCCCGGGTTCAAATCTCTGAGCCTGGAACCCGTCGACATTAAAATGTAGCATCCCTGTTTCTGACTCGGGAAGAGTGTTCATATGAAATCATGCCCTTGTTTTTCGCTTCTCTGCCAGTTTGTCCAGGGAGGTGGCGCCTTCCCTGCGGGCCTCTCTGCCCCCGTGGCCAGGACCCTGTCCCTGCCCGGCCAGCCTCTCCTGTAACAGCTGTTCAACCCGAGACCCCTCAGACCTCCTGGGTGCAGCATCCAGCTGGCCTGGGGCCTCTAGGGCGGCACGCTCCTTTGCCAGTGTTGATGATGCTATTAACACACATTATTGAGCACAGATTTTTGTGCCAGGCTCTGCAGTAGGCGGAATCCCTGTGATTTTATTTGCCCAGGATTATGATACACTTATTATTATCACCACCGTACAAAAGAGCAGAGCCGGACGCAGGCAGGTGAAGCAACTTGTCCCAGGTCCCACAGCTGTCGGGGTTCAAACCCGGGCCTGCCTGACCCCTTTCTCCACACGCTCAACTGTGTGCACCACACATTCGTGCACGTATGTATAATTCGTGCCATGAACTTGGAATGAGCCAAAAGCCTTTCCAGGCTTCAGATCCTGCTCTGGGGAATGAGTACAGTAATGTCTGTTGTACTGACTGTGCCCACTCGTGAAAGCCAGACCCACGAGAAGGTGCCACGCGAGTGTCCGTGAAGCAGGAGGAGCAGCTGCAGCTGCACCAAAGAGGTTAGTCTGACGGTAGCCCCCAGCCCGAGTCGCCCTCTGTCACTCACTAGGATGTGACTTTGCACAAGTCACTGCCCTGCGCCTCAGTGTGCTCAGGCGTACCGAGGGGATAATCATACCACCCCTTCATGGGGAATTAATTCCCAGGGGATTAAATGAGAACCATCGCCCTTCCGGCTCAGTCCAGTTCCC